CGTACGGACCTGCCAGGTAGAGGCGGATCCCTTGAACCGCGGTGACGAGGTCGTTGAGGACGCCCGCCATGGCCTCCGGCGTGAACTGTTGCGGCTGCGGGGGAGGTGATGGCGGCGGCGAGTGTTGGACGGGGGCCTGTGGCTGCCCTTGGCCCGGCGTGGTGCCGGGTGCCGTTAGGACCGGCGCTGAGAGCGACGCAGTGGTGCCCGCCGAGAGCGAGGCCGTGACGCCCGGCGCAGAGGCGGCGGTGGTGGAGGAGTTGGCGGGCAGCGGTGGTGGTGGCGGTGGAATTGGCGGAGACATGGTCGAAACCCGGTTACCTGATACCAAATTGGTAGGATCAAGTACTCTACCAGGTCTAGGGCGTAGGTGGTAAGGGAAGGATGGAGGGAGACGTGGCGAGGATCGGGCGCGCCGGCGGCAGGGCGCCGGCGCGGCTAGGAGAGGGGCGGCGGCTAGGGCTGTTGGCGGCTAGGGTTCCGGCTCCTCGGGGAGCCGGGCAATAGGAGATAATATTCTTCTTATTGCTTGCCTTCAACAAGAGTCTTACAACCTATATTTATATCCTAGATAACTTGTAGAAGAATCAACCTAAGATAACTTGCCTAATCTGAAAATAAAAACTAAGATAACTTGCGGGCCTAAGCCGGCCGGCCATAACAGGTGTATACGTAGTGATTGAGAGAACAAAAAATATTTGTCCATTGAGAGAATAAAGAGTAGTTAATGCAATACTTTCTAAACTCAACTCTACGATGATGCTTTCAAGAAGTTAATATGCGATCTGAAGATAGATATAAACGCATGCTGTTTGGAAGGCAGAAATTTCACATGAAACAGGAACCATGAAAAAATTTAAACAATGCAAACAGGGCCTAAAGCTGGATGTACCACCAGCTACTGGTAATTGGTTGTCTAGATATAAAATTGATTCACATGGAACTTGTTTGATCTGTCATTTGAGGACTTCATTGCCTTCTTGTGTTCATCCTAAAACAGTTGCCCTGACCAATAGTCCCTTGAAAAGATTGAATAGTAACTTACCGATTCTTCTAAGATGGTTGTCCTGATATCTGTCGTTGGCTGGAGTGTTGTTGTTAGCTCCTTTGTCTGGTTCAGTAGGAAGTTTCCTGAAGAACTCTACTGTTAGGTAACTGGCCTCCATGTCAACTAGACGAATAACTGTCTTTCGGCCATCCTCACGGAATCTTTCTAGGCTTTCATTTGCTGCTGCAGCTATATCTGATTGAAGCGTTGGGAAACGCTTTAATTCCTGGCACAGTCAATGTAGCCATGATATATAAGAAATGAGAAACAGTCCAAGGCAAGAGTGACGTCTGACAATCACTCATCCATAACCAAAGTTCACCAAAAATAAAAAATAACACTCACCTCTGTTGCTGCAATCGATCTCCGGACTAGCTCCTTCAATACCAAATGGACCTGCAAATTATGAGATCATCAGCAAGTGCATGTAGCTAACAAAATTATGCTCCCGAACAAGCATTGCTATCACATATTCTCCATATGTCAAAAATGAGAAATGTGAAAATTCCATTCTCGCTCTAGTCTCACAGCTTCCCCATTTGAGCATGCAACAGACTTACTAAACCACTCCCGTGTTCAGTACTTTGGCAAGATAATGGTTCCTTATTATACTACTTCCGAAGTTTCTCATAGTCCAGCAATATCCTGAGTTAACTTTATAATGAATAAATACCATAAGCTAGAACCTAGATTCTAACATGAGAAGATTAGTTAAGTTGGTTTGTTTATATATCAGTTACTGAAACATGAACCAGTTGCTTAAACATTAAGGAGCCTCAAAAGGAGTCATGGATAAAAAAGTTATACCGCATCAACTGAAGCTTCAGCTGGGCCCCTAAAGTAGCTGAGTGAACTATCTATAAGCCTTCTGTAACCTTGCTCAGGAGCAATCAAATGGGGCTGGTAACCATCAGCCTCAGAAATGACTTTTCGAACATTTTGCAACGAAAGATGTTTATCAAAAGGAAGCTTTTTCAGTGCTGCAGGTAACTGGTGGTCAAAGACACCATAAATGCGATCTCCACCTGGTCGACTGGTAACAATGATAAAGAAAGGTAAATTATTAGAAGCATTTTTCCAAACAAAAAGGGAAATCATGCTTGCAGTATCTTCACCATATATCTAGGAAGCATGTACAGAATGTAAGGCATTATTATGAAAGTAAAAAAGTCACATGTACAAAATGGCTAGTTGAACATCTTACCCGCCATCTAAGTGCTCTTTAAAAACACGGTCAAATGCGCGACACATGTCCAATATCGTATACAATTGTGCCTGTCGATTATGTTAAATGTATGAGAGAAATGTTATATAAAAGTTGTTCGGGAATATAGAATGTGCTTGCCATTAACATCACTGTAAATGAACATTCCAAGCTGTGGCGCAAATTACTTTTCAGCTTTTATGTTACTATGGTAATTCTTACCCCAGCGTCACCTCCAATTGGCCTACCAAGTCGATCCAACTCAGCTTCAATTTCATCAACTGTCTTGTTGATCATTGATATAATACTTGGAATTTTGGCTTTGATCACAGCCTCTAAATGCTGGATAAATAAATGGAAATACATCAGCAAACAGTTTATGCAAAATTGAAAATTTTGGCAAAGTTAGAGAGCAAATGACCTAACCTGTGACAGAAGCTTAGCAAGATACTCAGCACCCATTTTATGTGCCAAATGACCATAATCAGGACTACTTTGAAAGTACTCTTGTTCTTTGCGACGTGCTGCGAGCATGTCAACATTTTTGTTGATATCAGCCTGTGAACGGTTGACAATGCCCACCCAGGGGTGCTGCAAGCGATATGACCTCCCTTCGAGTACCTAGGGTCAATTAAGAAAGGAAGGTTTAAGTGATATGCTCATCGAGGATGAGTTCATAGCAATTGCAAGACCACATACATCAATAGCATTGGTACCCTTGTCCATCAAATCAAGTTTTGTTACAACTCCAAAGGTCCTTTCACCTGAAAATGGAAAGGGATGTCAAAAGAAAGAAAAGAAACTTGCCAGATTACCATGGCGTGATAACGACAAAAGGTATATTTACAATTCTTGTTTTATGCAAAGTAGATTTGAAATGCTGCAGGAACAAAACTCAAACTGCACCTGTAGGATCCACTTCCTTAGCAAGCTTGATAGCATCTGATGTTGCTATATCTTGGTTTGCTGGAGAGATAGCCAATATAATAGAGTTTGGCTGAAGTTTCCAGACAAAGAAAAGAGGTCAAGAAAGTTATAGATTTTAACCAGCAAAATGGTCAATCGTCTTTGCCTCATGTAATGATGTAAATAAAAACAGGACTCGCGATACAAATATAGCAAGAGACCAACAATGAACACAAACTTAAGACTGGTTCTTAATTTATTATACCAATCCCAGAAGGGAGAAATATATGCCGAGACAGCACCATTATAATACCATATTTATTTGAGCTACATTTACTTCATGAATATTCCGTGCTATGCTATGCCAGTTCTAAGCATTACTCATGTTTTAGCCTAATCAGTATAGCAAACCACAGCGGCGATTATTTTACCTTGTCAACATAAGTCCGGACCATGTTTTCAATATCTTGCACAATAGACTCTGGCTGCCCCTCTGTAGTAGATAGTTGCAGTTAGGACAGTTATATAATAATGCAATAAAGAATTTTATGCTAACCAAAGAAGAAGCAGCTAAGTCAATAAGGGAAACATTACCTACAGCAACCTTTGTCAGTCCAGGAAGATCAATAAGTGTCAAGTTAACAACTGCACAAAAAAGGTTCCAAATTAAGCTAGTTCAGAAGGTAAAAATAAAATAACAAAAACTAAGATATCTAATCAGCACGTAGAAATCTTTAGGAGTACGTGCAATATAGTGCAGCAGCATGAACACATTTTGCCAAAAAAAGGCTATAAATTTGAGAAGTAGATACACATCAACAAATCTAAACAAATACCAAAGTCTTACCATGTGGAGAATATATACTCAAATGGATAGGAACATTTGATATTGCTTTCGATTTTCCAGTCATGCGATCAGTTTCATCAGCAATCTCTTTCCTAACAGCAGCTGCATTAAGGTTTTAACAAAAAAATAACTTAACATCACCGTAATACAAACAAACAAAAGGGCAGATCAGTAATCACATATGCTTTTATGTCTTACACTAATAATAAAACAATTAAACATCAAGATTATCATGCTAAATAACAGTGAACATCCCAGAACTTAACAAGTACAACTGCCAGGAAAATGAACTGGTTCACACGCTTTCACAAACTAATGCAGTTAATTCTTCCACAAATGAAATTGCCCAATTCTAGATTGAAGTTATTGTTCATGGTACATAAAGAAAAGATAAAGCAATGTAATTCATTTGATTGAGCGCTACAAATAACTAAGTTTGCTGCATGAGGAAAACTAAAATACTACATGCTCACCATGTACCATTGGGAGTACCTGTTGTCATAATGCATGGGTCTTCAAAGTATTTAATATTTATACACTGCGCATAATTCTTAGATGTGTTATAGCACTATACATGTTCTTTCATTGTTGAGTACTCTAGTACAGCTTATATGCTTGGTCATTGGCAAATATTACACTAGTGAGAACATGTAATGCTAATGGCATTAGTTCCTATGGAATCAAATATATGTTCGCAATTACTACACTAGTGAGAAGCATGTAATGCTAATGGCAAATATTACTTCTGAGTTGTAGGCCACAGTGTCATTTACTCCTTAGTTCACACCGTACAAAGATATTTGATCGTGCGGTATGATTCTATGATACTTTCCCCATTTATAGATACAACAGTTGAATATTTTGATATGAAAATTGTGAACATACATTTGATAGTAGGGCGGTGTTTATGCTAAGTGCATACTTATTTTCAGAAGATAGATCACATAATAGATGTACTCCCTCTGTTCCTAAATATAAGTCTTTTTAGACATTTCAAATGGACTACAACATACGGATGTATGTAGACATATTTTAGAATGTAGATTCACTTGTTTTGCTCCGTATGTAGTCACTTGTTGGAATCTCTAAAGAGACTTATATTTGGGAACGGAGGGAGTAGTTCAGTGCACCAAGTATAAGAAGGTGATGCAGAATGCTTTCTTCTATCTATCTCTCTTGGGTTGGTTACAGTTTCAACAGTTGGATATTTTGATGCAAAAGTGGCAAAAATAGTAGGGCAGTGTTTATGCTAACTGTATTATACTTATTTGTAGATGTATTGAAATAAGTATAGTTAGGGAATGCAGGATGCTTTCTTACATGTTTCTCTTGGGTCGGTTATAATTGCAATTGAGAGCAGCTTTTGACAACACTAACTAACAATTTGAACTGAAGAAACTAATTGCAACTGAGAGCAGATTTTGACAACACTAACTAACAATTTGAACTGAAGAAACTATACAAGCTGCTGGGCTGCAAGCAGGCACAACGGAGCATAGGCCTCTTACCAAAGTCGGAGAAGCGCTTCCGCGGGGCGTGGAGGAACTCGGCGTACTCCTGGCCGCCCTCGGTCTTGTGCAGCTGCAGCACTAGAGGCCTCCTCGTCACGATCCCTGATCAAGCCAACGATAACGCAATTCAGTGGCTCAGGACCGACTACTTGAAAGAAAAAATGGCGATCCGGCGCGGGATTACCAGATCCACGGGGCAGGAAGTCCCTCCCGACAATGCTCTCGAGCACCGACGACTTCCCGGAACTCTGGAGGCACGAGAAAACGCAGGCAATGAGTGAGCGGTCGAGCGGGCAGATCTGGGCGCGGGGCCGGCGGATCTGGGGGGGCGAGCGGGGGCGGGGGCGGGGGCGTACCTGGCCTCCGACGACGGCGACGGAGGGGAGCGCCTCCCAGAGCGAGCCCCCGGCGCCGCCGCCGTGGTCGCCGAGCACGGTGCACGCCTGCTGGATCCGGTTCACCAGCCCGATCAGGCTCCCCATCGTCGCCATCTCGGGCGAGGCCCCTCCCCCCGCCGCTCCGCGTGCGGTGGTCGCCGGCGGCGAGCGGGAGCAGGTGGACGGCGGCGGTGGCGGTGGGGGTGGGGATCTGCTTGCCGGAGTGGGGAGAGGAGGAGGAACCGAGAAAATGGGTTAAGCTAAAAAGGATTTTAAAAGCGGAGGTTATATGTGGGTTCGGGGGCGGGGCGCGAGCTAGGTGAACCGGGCCTTGCTGCGCCGGCGTGGGCCCCGCGGAGGCGGGATGGGCGGCTGCGGGTGGGGCCGGGAGGTTTGTGGCGGTTGGACGTGGTGGATGGTGGGTCTGGGGTGTGGACCGGGAGCAGGGAGCCGGAGCCGTTGGATCTCGGCTTTGTGCTGCTGCTGCTTCCAGCTGCGGGCGACCGACGGCTGGCGAGTGGGGCCCGCCTTTCTGGTGCGTGACGCGTGAGCAGCACTTGTGCCTCCATTGGCGCACCTCGCGTTTGAAATCAACGGTGGGGACGGCGGCACACGGACAGCGCAGTGTTAAAACAGTACGGCTGTCACTTCTGCCAGTAAGAACACGTTTGATTGCTCGCATTATTATTATTTCCTTTGCGTACTTTTTTTTTAGAAACAAGACCGAGGCCCGGCGTTGAATCAATGACGCTCTTACATACCAGCCGGCCACACAACACACGCAGACACAAACAACATTAACACGGACGCACACAAAACAGCAAAAGGATGCACAAAACGATGTCTTCGGTCGACGTCGCGATCTTGTCAAAGAGGAGACAAAGCCAGGGAGGTGAATTGTCGCCGGAGCTGTCATCAAAACTCCGAGGCCACACCGGCGTCACGCCATCCGTCTCCCCTACCGAAGAAGGCTACACCTACCCTCTCGCCCTAGCTCATAGGGCATGGCGGAGTTGCCCCCGGGCATGCATGGACATTGAACAACCAGATGCCCAAGGTAGGACGACGGGCACCAGCACCTCACCTCGCGAAACACCTCATCCATTGCGACGCTCGCCTTCAAAACACACCACGACACACGGCCCAAGCAGCCGGATGAAAGCACAATCGAAGACGCGGAGAGAAGAAAATGCATGACGCCACATGGCACACCTGCCACTGAGCAGCGCACCAGTGAAGAACACACCGACCGCAAATAGCGGCTGACCACCTGCACGAGATCATTGCCCACCCTCTGTTGTCCAAAGGCGACGCCTTCAAAAAGGTGAACGACGCCGGAGCGCCGTCGCCGCCCAAATCCGAAGGATTTTTATTTTCACCAGTGACACGCATGGGAGGCAACAACAATCCCACCCACCCCTAAGGTGTTGATCTCGACCAGCGAAGCGATTTCTTCATCTTCAGACCCTAATCTGCGGCAATGGAATTTCTCAGATTCATGTCGGGGCGAAATCCCAGCTCGGCTTGCCGATGCTAGCAGTGGCGGCTCCCGCATGTGTTGTTCCCTTCTTGGAGACGCTTCCATGGCCGTTATCTGTGCCCCTCTTCGAGCATCGACGGAAACCCCTTTTTTTCACTAACTCGGCGGGAACCCTTGGTCCGATTCTTCCTATCGAGTGGTGGTGACGTCACGACGTCGCTCCCCTTCTTGAAGGCGCCATCTTGCTCGCGCGAGGCGTCCCAGGTGTTGGATCTGGAGACGATTGGCGTCTTGCCGGTTCGACTTGCCCCTACCTAGGCTTGGTGGTTTAGCCGTGGGTTTTTTCCTTTGTTTGGGCTGAGCATCCTGTGTCTCTCTGCTACAGGTCTCATGTTCACGCCTTCTCATGGATGCATTCGTGCCATTTGTTGCACCGTCTTATACTCATTCTACTTTCATTCTATCGATGCAATGATACGCAAGCTTTGCGTATTTACGAAAAAAATAAGTAACTAAGCATGTGAAAAACTTGTGTGTATGTTCTATACAAATAATGTGATCTAATTAATTGTTTTGTGGATTATCCCTCAGTATAATAACTAATATAATAGTATAATTAAATAATTAAGAAAAATCTTCACAAAATTGTACCCTGCTCTGCTCTGCTTTCGTGTTGTGAGTTGAGAAAGAGAACATATCATCTCAGAAAAGTGACATGTGAGCACGGGCACATAGTGACATCTGCACAATATAATTTTGTCTTTTTTGTGCAACACATAATACAACACATTATTGAACGAAATTTCACGGGTAATTAGACCAAATGCATGCATATTCGTGTAAAAGATCAGTTTATTTTTCAAATCTTTAAGCACCTTTTTGGAGCAGTTCAATTTAAAGTGCCCCATGCACTGAAAATCTGGTGCATATCAACTCTGCTTTAGAGCATATACAACCGGATACATCAAATTTGGCATCTCAAATATCCGTGGACGCGCCCGCCATGACCGGTCACACCTTAATTTCACAGTCGGATACTTGAACTAGAAAAGCTCAAGTCCATACAAACACATCCAACGTAAACTATCTCTACGATGCAACAAAAAACGTCCGAGTACTACATCAGCACATTGCCATTGGACAACAAAAAATTGGCATGTTCTATCGTCCGGAATTACTTGTCGCAAAAATGGATGTATGTAAAAGTAATTTAGTTCTAGATACATCCATTTTTATTCATTTCCGTGACAAGTAATTCTGGATGGGGGAGTGCTAGCTATGGACAAAGATCATCCATGGCAGCCCCTGCCCTTTTGGGTGCCCTTGCCATCTTTCTCGCAGAAGTAGCGCTTGAAAATGTAATATGGATCTGCTCATTGTCAGATCTCCAAGACCCGTCACTGCCCTCCTTCTCCTCTTTAGGGGGCAGTCTGTCCATGGCGGGGACCTGTTCCTCCTCTACCGTTTTTGTAGGATGTGTGCACAAATGGTCTCCTCCTCTACAGCAGCGCGTGCTGCCGCCTCTGCCTGCGCTATGTCGGCAACGAGGAGGGTCTCGGCCACCCGCATCCTTTCCTTCTCGCGACATGCACACCGGTCCCTGCAGCACCCATATGCCGGCGGGCCGGAGATGGGGCGGCTGACGGACCGCGAGCCTCCAGCCTCCTTGGATCTGAGCGCCCGTTGCGCCGACACAATGAATTCCCGCCAGACAGATCCCGACGTCGGTCGGGCGCACTCCTCCCGGAAGCAGATGAAGGGAAATGCAGACGGCCATAGCCTCCTCCACCCCGCATGAGATGACACCTCACTGTAGGATCGGAAGTATGTCTAGGGGGGAGTGATAGACTACTTGACCAAATAAAAGCTTAACCTTTTCTCAATTTTAATTCTTGGCGGATTTTAGCAACTTAGCACTAGTCAAGCAATCAACCTAACACATGCAATTCAAAGAGTATAGCAGCGGAATGTAAATCATTGCATATGAAGGTAAAGGGAGGAGTTTGGAGGGAGCAAACGCAATTGTAGACACGGAGATTTTTGGCGTGGTTTCGATAGGTGGTGCTATCGTACATCCACGTTGATGGAGACTTCAACCCACGAAGGGTAACGGCTGCGTGAGTCCACGAAAGGCTCCACCCATGAAGGGTCCACGAAGAAGCAACCTTGTCTATCCCACCATGGCCATCGCCCACGAAGGACTTGCCTCACTTGGGTAGATCTTCACAAAGTAGGCGATCTCTTTGCCCTTACAAACTTCTTGGTTCAATTCCACAATCTTGACGGAGGCTCCCAAGCGACACCTAACTAATCTAGGAGACACCACTCTCCAAAAGGTAATAGATGGTGTGTTGATGATGAACTCCTTGCTCTTGTGCTTCAAATGATGGAAAGATGATTTGAGTGGAAAGCAACTTGGGGAAGGCTAGAGATCAAGATTCATATGGTTGGATTGGAATGTCTTGGTATCAACACATGAGTAGGTGGTTCTCTCTCAGAAAATGAGTAGTGGAAGTGTAGGTGTGTTCTGATGGCTTTCTCCATGAATGAAGAATGGGTGGAGGGGTATATATAACCTCCACACAAAATCTAACCGTTACACACAGATTCCCAAACTCGGTGGGACCGAATCATGAAACTCGGTCAGACCGATTCAGGTCAAAATATGAATGTTAGGATTTTTGATGGGACCGATATAATCCACTCGGTGGGACCGATGCTGCGAGGGAAACCGATCATCTATGGGGTCACAAGGATCCCTTCTACGTTCGGCGGGGGTTAGTTGCACGAAGAGCAGGTCGAGCCATTAGCGCACAGAGGATTTTTTATCCAGGTTCGGGCCACAGAGATGCGTAATACCCTAGTCCTGCCTTGTCTGGTTATATGTGTGTTCTAGGGCTTTTGAACTAGCTACGATGTGTGCCTTGTCCAAAAGTCTGAATCCCCCTCTCTGTGCGCCTTGGGCCTCCTTTTATACACAAAGGGGTTGCCATAGTGGCACACATGAGGTGGCAAGCTACAGTCGTACGAGCTTATCGCTCGATCAACGTAGGACAAGCGCATTTAATGCGTTGCCTACGTGTCCTCTCGCTTTATCGAGGACGGCAACAGAGGCCATCTCGTCCTTCGCTGCTCCTCCTCGCCTCGCCACGCGTCCGGGCCGACGAGGCATGCAGCGCCACGCTGGCCAACCAGCTGCTGTGTTGGCGAAATGGTAGGCTTCCACGAAGATCTGCATGCCGCCATGTAGGCACCTGCTTAGCTTGCATGCCTATCGTCGCACTAGAGTGGTGGTGAAGTAGCGAAACCTTGTCGGGCGCGGGTCTGGCCGTGGCCCAGCGATCGTCCCCAGCAAGGCTTGCCGGGGGCCTTGGAGTCGTCCCCGGCAAGGGTCTTGTCGGGGGCCTTCGTCTTCTGATCCCACGTGGATTCGTGGGTTGCCAATCTTCATGAGGGGCCGCATGCTACCAGGCATGTGCTCTCCAAATCTTGGTCTTAACATTGTCGATGGTGTCAGAGCTCTCAACCCCAAGGGTGGTGGCCCTGCTGGTCTCTTCGTAAGCTACCCCAGCAAGGAGCTTGCCGGGGGCCTCGCAGGTCACCTCGGCAAGGCTTGTTGCCGGGCGTGACCCTG